GAAACATTGCTGGTTTTCTCTTTATTTTGTCTTCCAGAGTCAAGAAAACTTGTTTTCCTTTGAGCTATTTATTTATACGTTATAGCAATTGGGTAAAAATACCTTTGTGAACAAAATTGAAACATTTGCCTTTCTCTCTACCTGATTGTTCCAAAATTTGGAAACCATTCATGAGTACTCTTATTTTATGGCAATCTAGTTATTTGCATACATTTAAGAAGAATCTTTTCTCTGTAACAAGATACGATTAGAGACACTGGTTATTTTACCAAGGTTTTGACTGCAATGACATATTTTCAGATATGACTAGACTGCTTTGAAGAATGGAGGTTAACTTTATAGAGGCAATTAAAAAGCCCCTTGGAAATACTGGCTTGGTCCCTTCTCTACATAGTTCCCTTTCAATATTTTTGTCGTTGTGGTAAGTAAAGAATGACACTTTCAAACAGGCCTGGTAACCTCAAAATATTTCCACTGTGTATCTCTCATTGTTTTATTTCTTCTGAGAAAGCTAAATTCATGGTACACTGAAGACTAGAGGTGATTCAGCAAGTGACAGCAGTTATAAATAAATGACATTGGTAGGACTACCTGAGAATGAGCCTTCCTGGCAATCAGGGGCACCTTGACACTCATATTTTGATCATCATTGCTTTCAAAAAGAAAGATTTTTGATCAAAAAGAAGAAATGAAAAACAGAACTTTTATCTGAAAAATGCAAGTCCTTTCCAATTACCAGGCCCAGAGAGATATTAAAGTGAGACAGCAATCTTGTCCTACACATACCCCCTTTTGAGCCATGTACTCATCTCTTTATACTGCTTACTATTGCCACAAGTAGCTAAAAATTAACCTACTGGTGCTGCACCAGACATTATAACCCAAACCCTATAGCTTATGGTATAGCCAATCAATAGATTATGTTATGTTAATGTAAATTATTGGTAAATAACTCGGGAACTGCTTCTTCTTTCCCTTTAAAAATCCACTTGTAGCTGGATATGGTAGCTCGTGCCTGTAATTCCAGCACTTTGGGAGGCTGAGGTGGACAGATCATCTGAGGTCAGGAGTTCAAGACCAGCTTGGCCTGATGTGGTGAAACCTCATCTCTACTAAAAATACAAAAATTAGCTTACCGTGGTGGCGGGTGCCTGTAATCCTGGCCACTCAGGAGGCTGAGGCAGGAGACTTGCTTGAACCCAGGAGGCGGAGGTTGCAGTGAGCCAAGATCATGCCATTGCACTCCGGCTTGGGCAGTAAGAGTGAAACTACATCTCAAAAAAAAAAAAAAAAAATCCACTTGTGACTGCTGCTACTCAAAATGTATATTCAGAGCAACTAGAATCTATGTTCCTGAGTTGCAATCCTCAAGCTTGTCCCAAGTAAACTCTACTTATATTAATTTTGCCTCAGCTTCTTCCTTTTAGATCAACAATGTTAAGATAAAATAGAAGAAAAAAAAATTCAAATTCTGCAGGAGGCTGCTAGTAGTTAGGCCCTCAGAGCTCCTTGGTACATCTTAACTCTCCTTTGTCTACAGGACATGATTTTAGGTGATGGGGTTTGTTGTAAGATACACAGGGAAAGCCTGGAAATCATAGTCTCCCTAGTTCCCTTGCAATTCAAAGATTGAGACATATTGAACCCTGTGGAAAACTGGATAATGGATCATCATTTTTTAAGCATAACAGCAGCTATGCTGACACAGCAGCTCTAGTGACCCAGTTGTCTTTTCATCCCCCAGAAGCTATCATCTTTTACTCCCTGTATTAGTCTATTCTCACAGTGCTATAAAGAACTACCTGAGATTGGGTACTTTATGAAGAAAAGAGGTTTAATTGACTCACAGTTCCATATGGCTGGGAAGGCCTCAGAAAACTTACTGTCATGGCAGAAGGCAAAGGAGAAGCAAGCACCTTTTTCACAAGGCAGTAGGAGAGAGAGAGATCCAGTGAGGGAAGTCCCAAACACTTAAACCATCAGATCTCTTGAGAACTTAGTCACTATCAAGAGAACAGCATGGGGAAAATCTGTCCCCATGATCCAATTACCTCCCACCAGGTCCCTTCCCTGACACATGGGGATTATAATTCAAGATAATATTTGAGTGGGGACACAGGGCCAAACCATATCATCTGCCCTTGTCCCCTCCCAATTTCATGTCCATTTCAAATTGCAAAATACAATTATCCCTCCCCAACAGTACCCCAAAGTCTTAACTCATTCCAACATTAACTCAAAAGTTCACAGTCCAAAGTCTCTTCTGAGACAAGGTAAGTCCCTTCTGCCTAGGCATCTGCTTTTAAGATATAATAGGAATACAGGTATTTGGTAAATTCTCCCATTCCAAATGGAGAAACTGGCCAAAACAGAGGGGCTATAGGCCCCATTGCCAGTTTGAAACTCAGCAGGACAGTCATTAAATCTTAAAGCTCCAAAATAATCTCCTTTGACTCCATGTCTCACATCCAGAGCATGCTGATGCAAGAGGTAAGATCCCCAGGCCTTGGGCAGCTCTGCCCCTGTAATTCTGCAGGGTATAGCCCTGTGGCTGCTTTCATGGGCTGGCTGTGAGTTCCTGTAGCTTTTCCAGATGCATGGTGCAGTCTGTCCGTGGATCTACCATTCTGGGACCTGGAGGATGACTGCTTTCTTATCATGGGTCCACTAGGCAGTGCCCCATTGGACACTCCATGTGGGAACTTCCACCTCACATTTCCCCTCTTCACTGCCTTAGTAGAGGTTCTTCATGAGGGCTCCACCCCTGCAGCAGACTTCTGTCTGGATATCCAGGTGTTTCCATACATCCTCTGAAATCTAGGTGAAGGGTTCCCAAACTTTAACTCTTGCTTTCTGCACACCTGCAGGCCCAACACCACATAGAAGGCACCAAGGCATGAGGCTTGCACTCTCTGAAGCACAGCCCAAGCTGTACCTTGGCCCCTTTTAGACATGACTGGAGCTAGAGGTACCTGGGATGCAGGGTGCCATGTCCCAAAGCTGTACAGAGCAGTGGGGCCCTATGCCAGCCCATGAAACCATTTTTCCCTCCTAGGTCTCTGATGCTGTGATAGGAGGGGCTGCCATGAAGGTCTCTGAAATGTCCTGGAAGACGTTTTTTGCATTGTCTTGGTGATTAATGTTTGGCTCCTCTTTACTTATCCAGTTCTTGCAGCTAGCAGCTTGAATTTTTCCCCAGGAGATGAGGTGATATTTTACTCCCCATCACATGGGCAGGCTCTAAATTTTCCAAACTTTTATGCTCTGCTTTTCTTTTAAACATAAGTTCCATTTTCAAATTATCTCTTTGTGAATGCATATGACTGTACATTTTCAGGAACAGCCAGGTCACATCTTCAGTGCTTTGCTCCTTAGAAATTTCTTCTGCTAGATACTCTAAATAATCTTCCTCAGGTTCATAGTTCCATGGATCTCTAGGGCAGGGGCAAAATGCTGCCAGTCTTTTTGCTAAAGCATAGCAAGAGTGACTTTTGCTCCAGTTCCCAGTAAGTTCCTCATCTCCATCTGAGACTACCTCAGCCTGGACTTCGTTGTCCATATCACTATGAGCATTTTGGTCAAAACCATTCAACAAGTCTCTAGGAAGCTCCAAATTTTCCCACATCTTCCTGTAGTCTTCTGAGACCTCCAAATTATTCCAACCTTTGCCCACACCACAACCCAGTTCCAAAGTCACTTCCACATTTTCAGGTATTTTTATAGCATTGCCCCACTCCTGGTATCAATTTTCTGTATTACTCCATTCTCACAATGCTGTAAAGAACTACCTGAGACTGAGTAATATATAATTCATAAAAGAGGCTTAATTGACTCTCAGTCAATTAAGATTAAAAGAGGCTTAACTGACTCACAGTTCCACATGGCTGGGGAGGCCTCAGGAAACTTAACAATCATGGTGGAAGGTGAAGGAGAAGCAAGCACCTTCTTTGCAAGGTGGCAGGAGGGAAAGAGCAAGTGGGGTGATGTGCCACACTTTTAAACCATCAGCTCTCATGAGAACTCACTCACTATCATGAGAACAGCATAGGGGAAATCCACCCTCATGATCCAGTTACCTCTCACCGGGTTTTTTTTCCCTGACAGGTGGGGATTGTAATTTGAGATGAGATTTGGGTGGGGACACAGAGCCAAACCCTATCACTCTTCAATGCCTTTCCAGTATGCGACCCCATATTAAGTACTTCCCTGAAAGAGAGAATAACTCATTGTATTTGGGTTGTCACTATCCACTCTCTTTTTCTTGCAACAAATATTTATGAAAAGGCTGTGATGTGCCAGGGGTAAGCAGACAGTCCATACAAGGGCCATACTTCTGAATATTAGTGATACCCCACTCTATCTAAAGAGCTAATATTCTGGTGAGGCAAAAAATAATAAATATAATAAATAAGTCAAATAGATAATTTTGGTCTGTGCTATGTAGTAACCAAACCAGGGTAATTTTTAGATTGGATGGTAAAAAAAAAAAAAAAAAAAGCTTCACTAAGAAGATAATACTTAAACTAGTACAATGATGAGGAGTCAGCCACACAAAGCCTAAATAAAAAGAATTCCAGGCAGAGACTGGGACCTTGACTGATAGAATGACTTATCCCAGGAAATATAGCTAATCAGTGACAAACCCAGAATATTGTTGCTTCAAAAGCCCATCCTGTTTGATTGCTTCACATTTCCTTCCAAATGAGTTGTTATGTGGGAACTAACTTATTAAACTCGAAATACTGTTCAAATATAAGATATTCTCAAATAATAATATTACTAAAGGCTGCCAAAGTTAACAAAGCAAAACAAACACAGCAGAGTTTATTTTCAGCAAAGGAACACACCAGTTGGCTGAGGGCAAAAAGCATGTGTTTTTAATTGTTAAGAAGGGGTTTAATGGTTGCTATGCTAATTAAGGCTGCCTGAGTCTGTTCATGCTTCTATAACAAAGTAACTGAGACTAGGTAACATATAAAGAATAGAAATTGATTTCTCACCGTTCTGGAGGTTGGAAGTCCATAATCAAGGCATCCACAGGTTCAGTGTTTGGTAAGGGCCCTGTCTTCCTGCTTCCAAGATGAGGCTTTGTTGCTGCATCCTCCAGAGGAGATGAATGGCTGTATCCTCACATGGTGGAAAGAATGGAAAGACAAAAAGAGGGCCTTGCTAGCTCCCTCCAGCCCTTTTATATAGTCACTAATCCCATTCATGAGGACAGAGCATCATACCCTAACCACCTCCTAAAGGCCCCACCTCCTAATGCTGTTGCATCGGGAATTTTGCAAGATGAATTTTGGAGGAGACACAAACATTCAAACCACAGCAAAAGATGAAAAACAAACACTCCAAATAGGCCAGAGTAAATCCATAGCTCTCTACATGATTGGTTAAAACAAAACCCCTATTTCATTGGAAAAAAAGTCTTCAGATAAGTCCTACAAGGGTTTTGTTTCAGCTTACCAGGATCACTCAAAATTCATGTTTTTGTTTTTGTTTTTTTTTTTTAACAGTGCTAGTTGTTAAAGGACAGTTGAAGCACAACACAGTATTCAATGCACTATCTCCTAGGCGAGCTCCGCTGTAAATAACATTTTTCTTTTATGATATTATTATGCAACAGACAAGAAACTAATGATCCAAATATGTTGGCTGTCATGCCTAAGGTCATTTACATAACCAGGCTGTTTACAGATCTCAATCTAGAACTCAGGTCCCCAATTCTTGATCACTTTCCAAATGTACTTTTTTGTTTGGTTTGGTTTCTAGAGACAGAGTCTCACCCTGTTGCCAAGGCTTGAGTACAATAGTGGCATAATCATAACTCACTGAAACCTTGAACTCCTAGGCTCAGGTGATCCTACCTCTTCAGCCTCCTGCGTAGCTAGGACTACAGGTGTGGGCCACTTCCTCCAGCCAATTTCTTTATTTTTTGTAGAGTCAGGGTCTTCCTATGTTGCCCAGGCTAGTCTCAAACTCCTGGCCTCAGCCTCCTGCCTCAGCCTTCCAAAGTGGTAAGATTACTGTCATGAGCCACTGTGCATGGTCCTCCTAATGTACTTAGTGGGACATTTTTGAGGCCTACACCTATATTATACACATACAGCACATAATAGGCACTCAATAAATATTTTTTGAGTTGCATCTCCTAGTTCCTCCTAAATTTCTGCTCACTAATATATTATTATGTTTAAATAAATAAAAGGAGTTTGCTTAGGGATCACCTATAAATCAGAAGACTAGAAAGACTTACAGGCATGGGGCTGTTGGTCACTTTTTTTGGGTCCGTATATGCAGAAAATCACCATGGGGATATAACAGTGAACTTGCCTCAAAATAATTCATATCAAACCAATCTCATATGAAGAACTTATATGCATTATCTCAATTAATCCTTATAACAGCCCCACAAATAAACCGAGACTCTTGGAGGTTGAGATTCACCAAACTCATGTGTCCTCTGTATCATACAATTCTCAAGTGCATGCATCACCTCAGGATTCAGAAGTCCAACATCACCCCAGGATTCAGAAGTCCAGGAAATGGAATCTCTGATACATTTCTAAAGCAAATGGTTCTAACTTAGTCTTACGTCTGCTCTCACATGGTTCCGGTATTAACTCGATACGATTTTGTCATTGTTGTTTGACATTATTTCTTTAAGCATAACATTGCCAAATGGAACAAATGAAAAAGCAAAGAATACCAGTGTTCTGTTTGTTGAGTAAGGGGATACCCCTTATAATTTCCTGGAGAAAGTAATTTCCGTTCTGCGCCAATAGGCCCTTTGCCTAAGACACAGGTGAACACTGAGGTTCGCCTCAGGTATGAAGCTAAGGTCTGTCTTCTCCCAGGAGGTGGCAGCAGCAGCAGCTGCAGCCTCCGCCTGCTGCAGAAATCAGACCGAATTCATCCGTTTTCCTATTGGCATCCAAACCTAGAAATTCCTGGTTCCAAAGACCACTTCATCCCTTCCTTGGTTTGCTGAGTTTAGTTGGAGCTGGGGCATTGGGAGTTCAGGAGCTGGCAATAATTCCTCTTTATAAGTGCTTAGTTTTTTTTGTAAACACTTTGGTCTGGGCTGTGACCTTGAAGCATGTATGAAGGAGGTTCAGGAAGTCTCTGGCCAGGGAAAAAGAGCTTCAGAAACAGTAGTTGAAACACATCCACACAAGCATAAATCCAGAGATCCCAGTGCGGATTTTGGTACCACAAAATGATACAGATTGTAGACCTGGCCTGTCAGGTACCAGCCAGCTGACCTTCTTATTGAACCTGTCAGAACCGTAATTTACTCATCCATCCAGCCTGGACTAGGTGATCTTGAAGCACCTGCTAATTCTTAAATTATAAGCTACTGGACTTTTATTTTCTGGACGAACGGCTTGGCCTTCACCCTTTCAGAATTTTAAAAAATTTCAGACACAACAAAACACTACTGGTTCCAAGATAATCCCGGATGAGCACATATCCTGGTTTGGCAAACACTGCCAGCTGCATAGAAGGCGGGCAGGAATCCCAGGAAATGTCTGAACACCACTCAGCTATGGATGAACTGTCAACTGCTGGGGGTTGCTTTGCAAATTACCACATCTAAACGAAGCTGACAAAATGATATTTCAGAAAAGCAATTAACACTGATGCCTAGTGTATTTGGAACCAAAAGGCCTTTTGGGAAGAATGAAATTGGCTCAGAAAAAAGAGTACCCCAGCCCTCCAGGTAGAAACGTTAAGTCAGGATCTCCCACACACTCCCATCACCACCAGTCAGATAGTCAGCCTGGTCTTTGTGAAGGAGATGGATCTAGTTCCTTTCACCTTCCCCCTGCTTCCACTTGGATTGGTTAAGCTTTCGTCTATTTATTCAGTGAACATTTCTTGGGCACCTCCCATGGGTCAGGGGCTGGGTGTACACCTGGTTATTGAGGAGTTTACAATGGAGTAGTCAGATGCTAAATGAATTAATATACATGGAGCATTCAGAAAGGGTTGGAATGTAAAACACAACATAGGTGATAGAAATAGTTATTATCTCTATAAGACCACAGGCCAAACACCATACTTCCTAATGAAAGCTATCCCTACAGTATAGCGCAATCATCTAGAAAGAATCCCATACTCCTGTAAGTATTGGCCCCTGTGGAATTGTCAATTGAACTTTTCCTATTTTACATGAAAGTTGTCATATTAGAATCCCTTCCTAGATTGGGAGTTTTGGCTCCAGAAGGCCGCACTTAATAGAAATATTGTACACGTTACCTGGCATCAAAGGATGGGGCTGGTGGGACAGCTTCTGTGTCCACCTCTTCCCCTTGAAAATGCCAGCACAGGTGATGGGCAGGTTCAATAAGTTCCAATGTAACTGCAACAGAGAGAACCGAGGAATGACAGAGGTAGGGGAGCCTGGTGAGAGATAGCTTCATTCCTAAAAAGAACCATATTCTGTTTGGAGAGCAGATCAGAGGGCAAGAAAACAGGGCTGTCCTGTGTGACACGGAATGAGCTAAGCTATAGACCATAACAAACAAGCAGAAAAGAAGCAAACCATGTCTCCTGATTCCCTGGACTGATTTCAGAGTAGTCTGAAAAGGACAATTGAAGTTTGCCTTCAAAGAGACACTAGATGCCCTCGTAATGTTGAAATCAAGTCCAATATTTCTCAAACGTAATTCTTTAATAGAGACCCTTCTTATGTTGATTTTTTTTTTCTCCTGTAGAGTTCCAAATAAGCCTCAAGAGGATCTCTTTCTTCCCACAGGTCCACAGGCAAGTCACGGCTATGCCAGTTATTACATGTATAGCACAAAGGTTGAGAATCTCTGGCCTTTGGCTAAGTTTTATCCAACTGAATGTTCGGTCACTGATGTCACAGCCCAAAAAATAATTAGCATTATAATGGGATTCTTTAGTGAATATATTTAGAGGGAAGCCTCTGAGCAGCAGTTCTCTCCCTTGGCTTCACATGGGGAACTTTTAAAAATCGTCAACCCACATCCCAAACTGATTACATATTAGGGGTGGGGCCTAAGCATCAACTTTTCTCTTATATACCATAGGTATCAACATTTTTGTACATTCCTCAAAAGATGTCTATGTACAGCCAAGGTTGAGACTTTCCAATGTTAAGCCTTAGGATAAGGAGAGGCAGGAAGCTGCTAGTAACTGACAGCTGAGCTCACCTCCTCCCTTTGGAATTTCTCCTGAAAAGCCAGCACGAAGAAACCAAATACTGCAATGGCAGCCAGCCTAAACATCCACTTTGTAAGATTTCCATTTCTGCTTTCTCACTGTATCTACCAGGTCTGCAATTAAAATGATTTGAGTGCCTACAGAGTTATGAACAGTGGCTAATCAGTATTTTCAAGAGAGAACAGGTAACAGCCGACGGTGGTATGAATGCCATGCTCTAGAGATTCTACATTAATCTCTCTCTTTTTTTTTTGAGACAGGGTCTCACTGTGTCACCTCAGGCTGGAGTGCAGTGGTGCAATCTTGACTCACCACAACCTCTGCCTCCCAAGTTCAAGCCATTCTCCTGCCTTAGCCTCCTGAATAGCTGGAATTGCAAGTTCGTCCCACCACACCCAGCTAATTTTTTTTTTTTTTTTTAGTAGAGACGGTGTTTCACCATGTTGGCCAGTCTGGTCTTGAACTCCTGGCCTCAAGTGATCCACCCGTCTCAGCCTCCCAAAGTGCTGGGAGTACAGGCATGAGTCACCACCCCTGGCGCCACATTCATCTGAAAAACAAACATAAATGCTTTTCTTTTCCACCCTCCAAACTACTCAGTCTCTTCTCTCACCCCACTCTTGACCCATTTTTCTCTTCTGCTTCCTCTCTCTTCCTGCCTGTCATCTCCTTCACCTGCTCTCCAACCCTTTCACTGTCATTCATTCTTATTGCACTTATTTCTTGTCTTTCTTAGCCTCTGCACCTCACTATTCCTTCTGCATGTGTCTCATTTTCCTTTAGCCACTATTCTCTCCTCCTTACCCACAATCACATACCTCTCTTAGTTTCATCATCTTTCCCACTTGCAGCTCCTTAACTGGCTATAATACGAAGCAAAAGCATTGTCACATAGTTACAATTATTAAACCTTTTCTCGTTTGCCCCAAGAATACTCACTAGCAGCACTTGCGGCTGCAGTGTTTACCCCGAGAAAACTTTGCCACAAAATCTCTCTCTTTTATTATTATTTTCGCATCTCTCTAGTACCTCGACTTTGGAAACAAAAGACATTCTGTTTATAGCATTCTATTTTTAGAGGTGGTATTTCCATTTATAAAATACAGTAATTCTCAATTGCTGAAAATGTCAAATCCTGGAAAACGTGGCATTCCTATGTGTGATGTTAACATCATTAATGAACAGTTGGCCAAAGATTCATTTGATGAATCTGATTTCTCTGAAATAGACGATTCTGATGATTCAGATGATTCTGTTGTTAGTTCTGTTAAGAATTAACTCTAAGAGCAGTTTTTATATTTTATTTTCACATTGAAAATCAGTCAGATTTGCTTCAGTCTCAAATAGCATGTTTATGTAAAATTAAATGAGTACGGGCAGCGAGCTATACTTTTTTTAAATGGGAAAAAGGTTAAATAAGATATTCTATTAGTTTTAAAAGCAGGTAAGTACTGAAAATATTTTATTTGTCTCCCCAAGGAGAAAAAGAAACTGGCTCAGAGTTAGCACTCCTTAAATACTAATTATTTCTCTTATAACTCCCTGTATTGGCCCCAGATTACTTTTTTTCATGTAGTTCATTGACCTTCAATAGAAAAATGGTTCTCTGTTCTTCAATCCTGACAACAGCAGCTGACATCAATGTAAAAACAGAAACAAGCTAAAAACAGTAGTTGAATGTATACACCCTGAATAAATATTCAGTTGCAAAATCATCATCGTTATTATTGTAATTACAGAGAGGAGGCATTGCAATAATTGTTCAAGTGTCTTCTTGAGGAAATAACTAAAACAGGGCCAGCTGTCACAAACTACCCGACAATAATGATTCCCGTGTGTGCTGCTTCAGTATTCATAGTGTCTCTACAATAAGAAATTTGTGTACTCATCTAATGTTGTTTTCAAAATTGTTAATTTTATCAACAATAGAACAGGGTCTCGCTGTTGTTGCCCACGCTGGTCTCAAACTCCTGGCATTAATTGCTCCTCCTATCTTGGCCTCCCAAAGTGCTAATCTGATGCCCTTAAATAACTTAAAAAATAACAAACCTGGCCAGGCCTGGTGGTTCACGCCTGTAATCCCAGCACTTTGGGAGGCAGAGACAAGTGTATCACCTGAGGTCAGGAGTTTGAGACCAGCCTGACCAACAAAGTGAAACCCCATCTCCACTAAAAATACAAGAATTAGCTGAGCGTAGTGGCACACGGCTGTAATCCCAGCTACTCAGGAGACTGAGGCAGGAGAATTGCTTGAACCCAGGAGGCGGAGGTTGCAGTGAGCCGAGGTCGTGCCACTGCACTCCAGCCTGGGTGAGGGAGTGAGACTCTGTCTCAAAATAATAATTAAATAAATAAAAGTAAATAACAAACCTATGATTGGATTCAGTATTTTGCATGATAGTTGACCCGCATTTCTTAACAGTGTCCGTGAACAACCTTAGAATCATAAACTACCAAACAAAAATTGCACCATCGATTTAAGAACAAACTAGAGTAGGTGGTCCAGCATTCACCTACAACATGAGGGCAACAAATCTAGGTACAAGAGTAGGGTAGAAGTCAGGCAAACAGGCCAGCAGACAACTAAAATACTTAGGAGAAACATCTACAAAGACAGGTGTGTTTTATTGATTTGAAAACTGTAAACAAACAAGATCTGTAAGAAAAGAGGGAAGGCCTTGTTTTTTGTTTGCTTGTGAAATCAGCCAAAAGAATTTGAAATTTTCTCTTCCCAAGATACAGCTGTGAAATGACTAATGGAAACTGAGTGAGCCTGCCTCAGGAACTGAATGTGCCACTTCACTGAGAACAAAGAAGTGTTTCCCTGATAGAGGCTGTCCTCTCAGATTAATACCTTGGGTGCTTTAAAGAGGACCAGCCAGGCACAAATATGATGCATTTGTAAAGAGGAAGAATCAGCCAAGCACCTTGGCAAATTTTTTTCCTATTTCAGTACCTCCGAGTCATGTGTATATCTTAACTTTCATGCTCCTGAAGAAATGCCACAAAGAGGCAAAGAAAGAAAAGGAGAAAGAAAATTTCCTATTAAAGTATTTTTCCCTTGCTGGCCGTTCCAGTAGGAGTCTGGCTGAAGACTGAACCTGAGCTGCTTCAAAGATGAACTTGGTAACTGCTCTTATCCAATCTTCCTAGGTTCTGAAATTCACACTTCTAGTTGCAATGGATCAGTACCCTTTGCATATTCACATCTCCAGCCAAAAACAATTTACCCTGCACACAACCTTATCCTGTTTCAGTAATTAAAATATATTCTACAAAAGTGTCATAAGGAGCACTGACTGACATTTTGAAAGTTGTTTCAAGGCACAATCTGTGCATTTTCTTTCCATTGTGAAAGACATGACCGTAATAAAAATACAATCATCCTTCAGTAGATTCAGGGGGAATGGTTCTAGGGCCCCTGCATATACTAAAATCTATAGAACCTGCAGATACAAAAAGTCAGCCCTCATTTGAGCTTTGTATCTGCAAATACTGTATTTTTTTTTTTTTTTTTTTTTTTTTTTTTTTTAAGAGATGGGATTGTGGCCAGGGTGGTGGCTCACGCCTGTAATCCCAGCATTTTGGGAGGCTGAGGCTGGTGGATGGCTTGAGTCCATGAGTTCAAGATCAGCCTGGGAAACATAGTGAAACCCCATCTCTACCAAAAATACCAAAAAAAATTAGCCAGGTGTGCTGGTGCCCATTTGTGATCCCAGCTACTCGGGAGGCTGAGGTGGAAGGATTGCTTGAGTGTGGGAGGTCGGGGCTGCAGTGAGCTGAGATCATGTCACTGCCTTCTAGCCTGGGTGACAGAGTGAGACTCCATCTCAAAATAAATACATACATACATAAAAATGAAAATAAATAAAGAGATGGGGTGTTGCTATGTTGCTTACACCAGTCTCAAACTCCTGGCCTCAAGCAATCCTCACACTTCAGCTTCCTGAGTAATTAGGATTACAGGTATGAACCAACTACTGTATTTTTTATCTGAGTTTGGTTTTAAAAAAAACCAGATACAAGTGGACCCACGCAATTCAAACCCATGTTCTTCAAGGGGCAACTGTAAATTAAAACTTCAAACTGGCTTAAAATGGAAGGAAAAAATCTCCTTCCCACTCTTATCACAAGGCAAGCACTGTTAATTATTTCTGGTGTACTTTTTTCATA